GCCTTTAAGGTAGGCAGTTGAGTTGATCTTAAATAGGATCAACTCAACTTGACCGTGGAAGTTGCACGTTCCAAGGCCTGTATGGCTCGCAACTAGCAAATAGCAATTTGCAACTTCAGATTTTTTTTAAGAAAAAATTGCTTTTTTATAATAAATAAAAAATTAATAAATCAATATATCGTAATTATTATTGTATAAAAGATGTATTGTACTAAGTTTAATATCAACTAATTAATTAAATCTCAATTATAAATTATCATTCTTTTATTGTGTTGAGTTAAAGTAATAAAACTAATACTTTTGATATGTACTTTTCGATTTTATTAATACGTATATATTAGAATTGCCGCGTATATATTAGAATAAGCGAGGAACACGAAAATCGGACTTTTATTTTAACTTATTAAAAGAATACGTGCATCATTACCAACTTTTCTTTAATAATTAATACTTTTAATAATATAATAAATTGAATTGTTGATTTTCGATTTATAAGACGTTTTTTTTAATTAAGATTAAAGTCGTTAAAATATTCGTAGCAAACAAGTAAATTTGAATTATTTAAAACAGTTTTTAGCTATATTTTTATTATATTTTAATGTATTGTATTATTAAAAAATGAATGCAACTTTATATTTTCAATTTAAATTTTTAAAGCAAGAATTTTTAAGCATATAATTTTTTTTATATTAATAATTATTGTTGAATAAGTAGTATGCCGTTATTATCCCGCTTTAGTAGTGCCGACCTGGCTGCGCTAGGTCGGGATTTTTACGAAATTGTTTTTATAATATTATTAAGCAGCAGCGCATGCTTTCATCGCAGCGATAATGATACCGATATTGCGATTGCGCAAATTACGCTTTTTCAAAACATCTTTAAAAGAAGCTATTGCAAAAAGGTAGCGTTGTAAAGGGGGGGGGGGGAGGGGGGGGCGGGAATAGCTTGCAACTTGAGCTCGCAACTTAAGAGTTAGAGCTTTTTGCTGCAACTTCGATTTGTATAGTACAACTGCAGTTGCAAGGTCAAATGCACACTTTGCAAGATTTACGTGCACGAGCCATACAAATTGCTCAATTCTTGCATCTTGACGTGCAACTTAGAGATGCAAGAATATTTTAATAGTGCAACTTGGCTTGCATCTGCGAGCCATACACACCCTAATACAATGCTACCTTTTCTCAGCCGTAGCAAGTACTAGGAACAATAGTTATCGACATTCTATGTATATAATGATACGTCACTTTGAAAATCAATTTATCGATATCATATTTTATTTGTTGATAAGTAAGTCCTTAACATCAAATAATAACGAGAGACTTGATTTCCATGCACGAACCTCCTTCCTTTCTTCCGAACTTCCGAAATACACTGAGCTCAACCTTATTGTCCAAGAAGAGAGAGAACAGTTCAACTGCCTAACAGATCCCAGCTCTAAAGTAGAGTCCAACCCACAACCCATTCCGTCGCTAATCTTATGCTTATCATGAGCCCGCAATAAGCAAAGCGAGCGAGCGGATAAGGCCTTTATCGTAACTAGTTCCAATCGCAAAGAACTTGGACGACCACGCCAGCGGTAGCTGTTTCGTTCACAATAGTCTGAGGGTTTAAAGACCTCAAATCATCGACATTGGCGCAAAAATCACTCGCGATAGATGCCCAGTTGTCGCCATCGACGATCGTATAGTAACCATAGGTGCTGTCCGGTATCCTAGCGCAATCGCGTTCTCGATCTTTGCAAGGAACTGTGAAAATGTCTCCTACATTCCCAGGGCCGTCAGGGTTCATCTTTTGCAAGTCTACTAGACTGACGCAAAAGTCGGCCGCGATATTATCCCAAGTGTCGATGTCTGTCATAGTATAAAAGCCCTTGCCATCATTAGCAGTAGCGGGCCTGCAAGTTCGACGGAAAGGGGTTGCGGCGCCGAAGAAGGAGGCGATCAAGAGGAGGTTGTTATTGAAACGCATAATGGAGTTGGTAAATGATAGTAATCGATTGTCTTAACGGAGTGAGTTGATGAGTTGATGAGAAGACTACAAAAGGATAGCTCATCTTATATAGTTGTGATTGCGAAGTGTCTCGGCAATTTCGTATATATACTTTTTATCGCTACAGTAGTACTGTATGAAATAAACTAATACGAGCAGTACCAGTACGTAACCGTCGGCTCGCTTAAGTGGGCCTCTTTACTAGTACTAGTTTCAAACTTACTCTCCTCCCCCAATGAATACGTAGTACATGTCGAAAGTATAATTTCGCAAGAGATTTTACCAGGGCTTAAACCAATCAACTTACTACTATCAGGATTCAGCCTTGAAAAATACTACAGTACGTACCACGGTACAGGCCTAAGTGTCACAGCCTGAGGAAGCCTTAAAAGTCTAAATCTCCACTTTAAACCTCTTGGTTATCCTACCCTCAGGGTGTAACACTATGCCTGTGATGTTGTAGTACGTAAATAGTAGTACTTACTACTATTATTAACGTCGGGCGGAGATCCAAAACGCACTGCTTGGACCCTGGGGACCTCCCATGGGGTACCGGTACTGCGACGTGCTAAATAAAGGTATTAAACCCCTTAAAAGGAATAGTGCTGTGCGTTAAGTTTTCTCTCGACAACTGTTGAACACCTGTGGCCTTACGGGCGGGCTCGATCCGCATAATACTACTATAAATATCGTTTTCCTTCGTTGTAAAGCTAAAAAAGCTCGCTTACGTAGCCTTTGGATAGCCGGTGTGTTTGCAGAACGCTGTTTCGAAGGCGCAATACCGTGTTTTCGATCAGTCGAACTAAGCCCATCCTATCTTATCTCTTACACCCGTTCCTCGTTTATCGCAAATTATTCTGGTCTTTTTAGTCGCTATGCTCGTCAGGTATAGATCGTAGTCGGCGTGGTGTTCGAGAAAAGGGAAGAGGGAGGTTCGGAACCGCCGGTAAAGGAATATCTCCTCGAAGAGACGTTGCATATCGATGGTTCAATTTCGGCCCTCTAGACTCTCTGTTTCTTTCTCTACCGCAGGAGAAAGAGAGAAAGAGAGCTGAAGGTTCGTAGGAGGCACCTCGTACAGGTAAAGAATCGTAGCCCTCCAAGTATGCAAAGGTTAAGCGATGGGATGGATACAAAACTACTCCGTAAATTTAACAGGAAATATTACTATCCATCGAACTTTCGAGCCGCGGACCACTGGCTTCCGGCGCGGGCATCTGAACACATGTGACCCTCTCTCGCGTGCTTGATCAATTCATGTCCAAGATCTGGCCCGATATTTCGAGTGACTTCAGTTACTGATTGAAGCCAATCCCCGACACAAGCATGCATCATTCATGGGTTGATCATTATCCAACCAGATGCGATTGAAAATCGAGTCTCGACTTAATCGAGTCGGCCTATACATAGCAATACTGAATGTTCCCATGAAATTCCACGCAGTAAACCATCAATTTTGTAAAGTCCTATCCCATGCTCTTACACGGAATTTGGGCATGGGCCAGACATCTCTTACGATTCTGTCTTCTCGAACTCAAATGTCAAAGTCTTCGCCCGTCGTTGCAATTGTAGGGGACGGAATTCGTGGTTCAGTCCTCGCTCCTCCGTACAGCTACATTCTGTCGGCGTCAAGGACATTGATTATCTCTCAGCCCTTACGCGAACTGGAAGCCAAACGGATCAGAGACAAAACCTGCAGAACTCAGCAGTAATAATCATCCTGCGAGATCTGGGGCTCTTTGCCATCCCGTGTAAAAAAATATACCCGACGCCTTACTTAACGATTTATCAGAAAGAAAGACTGAGTGCCTCTACAGAAAAAGATTTGCTTTGCAAATTGTGTAAATGGGCCAGATCACGTGCTGTGACTAGCTTATGAACGTGCTCCAGACAGACGGGTTTGAGAGCAGAGACGATGTAACGTAATCAGGAGCATAGATTTGGGAGAGAGGTGAAAAAGCATGCAAGAAGTTGCTGGCTGGCTTTGGACATGGTAAGCGGAAAAAAAGAGGGCAAAAGAGACAGACAGTGTCGGGAGTTCCAAGCTGAAGGTACATGAGGCAGGATAGGGCCAGAATATGAATCACAATGATATATAAAAGCAAATGCAGAGGGACGATTATGAATGGCGCGGTGAAGAGGTTGTGTTGCGAACATTTGTTCAGCGTGTCTGTTTCAGAAGCCGTTACAGGATTTGCCTCACTTCCATGTGCTCTGTAGTAGCATCGATACTTGCCAAGTTCCCTCCACTCACTCCTTTTTCTTGACTGAGAGGATTGGCCCTCGATTCTCGTTGGCTACCCATCTAATCTCAAGTTCTCGAGTGCGCGCCATGAAGTCCTCAAGATGCATTCGACCCTGCTATGCTGCCGGTTTTTCGGTCGAAATGCCTACTGTGAGCATCGTTCTTCTGTTTCTTCTTGACCAGAGCTCGATGACGACGGCTTTGGAGATGTGTTTGCCATTGGAGATCAGTCACTGTTACCACTCGACATGTTTCGCACTCTTGACGAATGTGGACATCTGTTGGCTCCACCTTATCCCTGTCGGGACCAAGAAACTGTGCGGCAGCTGCACATAGTTCTAGTGGAGACGTCGGCTTGCCTCCGCCTAGAAAGGTCTCGGTGACCTTAATGGCAGGTTGCGTTACAGTATCCGAGAACTGCGCCACATCGCTGCCGTCGAGGAGATAGAGCCTGGCGAGTGAACCGTCTTCTGAGAGTGCTGGGATGAACTTAAGACGAATCCACCGCAGCTGTTGCTTGGCGTAATGCCGAGTGGCAGTTTTCGTTTGCTTGACAGAGAGCTCAAAGAGCTTGTTTAGCTCTTTGGGTGTAGCCTTTCCCGAGTGCAATGCATCGAGATAAGGCTCAAATTCCTTGTAGCCAATCGAGACCCAAATACCTCGCGTCCGGTCAACCTTGACACCAGCTTCAGCCTGGCCACGGAGAAACAAGTCCATCGAGCCCACTTCCTCTAGAAGTCCAGCCTTCAGCATCTTGTCAACCCTTGAATCGAGGCGAGTCTTCAAGACCTCGGATTCGGCGTGCACCCAGAACAAGAGTGTTGATTTTCTGTCTATCAGAGTATCCGAGGCAGGATCGTGGTCCGAAGTGGCTTTGGCCAAAGCTTTCCTTTGCTGCTGCGCCGTATAGATGTCTGAGGCCTTCTTCCCAGTCACTAAGAATATTTCCAAAGACCTGCGGATTTTGCGTCTATCCTTGGGGTGCCACTTCTCTGCCATGACAGGATCAACCTCTTTCAGAAGATTTATCATGTCTTCTGTAGGGCCCTCAAGTACAGGGTATTTCTCCGAGATTTCTTGGTTTGTGAGCTCTGGCTGTACTTGTTCCTCGTCGCTTTGTGCAGCTTCGACTAATGCATCTGTGAAAAGCAGCGATTGGGTATAATAGTGTGTTCCTCCGACAACAATAGGGAGACGTCCTCTTGATCGAATTTCCTTGATGATTTCTCCAGCTTTCTGTTTAAACAAACTCACTCGCCAGGGTTCCTCCTTGAGCGCAATGAATCCAAGGAGATGATGGGGGATGCCTTGTTGCTCTTTTGAGGTAATTCTATTCGTTATGATCGGCAGCCCATCGTACATTTGAACCGCATCAGCATTAATAATTTCCCCACTGAAGCGTGTGGCCAAGTCGACTGCTAACTATTGGAGTGTAAGTTGGGTTGACCTGGCTTAGAGGGCGAGTTATCATACCTGGGACTTCCCTGTGCCGGTCGCACCGAGAACAACAATCAAAGGGTTGTTGGGTGGAGTTCTTGCTATGGTTGCATTCATTATAGCAGAAGAAACGCGTCGCAACATTCACAATGCAAATTTCCAGGGAAAGGCTAGAAGGCTGGCGGGAATAATTTTCGAGTTGAAGGGGTGACCTCGCGGCTCCGGGCCAGTTTGGTCTGCGTGAGATACTACCTGAAAAGTCAGATTCTGGGTTTTGATCTCAAACTGCGTTTGGTCCAACTCGATTTACAAGTAGAAGTTGAAAATGCCAAGTAAGACTCGGTTTTGAAATTTGAGCCTCCTTACTTACAAGTATCGGTGTACGGAAAGTGTAATTCAAAGCTCGTGATAAACCTCGCAATCAAAGGAGTGAGTTCGATTTTTCAAACAGTATGTTTCACAACTGGTTTTTATAAACCGAGATGTTGACTTCTTCGTTAGTGGTAATCGTCGGTTGTCTTAAGTAGGTACGCAGTATTATGGTAAAAAACACCGACTTGGCGTAGCCAAGTCGGCACCTCCAAACCGGGACTCCCAGCCAGCGGTGTCATGGGTAAAGCATGTCACCGCCTTCGCTCACAGGGAGGTCGTCGGCCCAGGTGATTTTTGGTGGTGAAATATTCTGTAAAGGCGGTGACATACTAGTAGTAGTAGTAGTAGTAGTAGTAGTAGTAGTGTAGTAGTAGTATTAGTAATTTCAACGTCTGTTGCGGGTCCTAAGAGTCCGACTTATCAAGTTATCACCTCTTTAAGGGTATTCCGACGTGCCGGCATCAGATCTCGACCTAAACACTTCGCAAAGGAAAGCGGTTTTAATAAACTCAATAGTTTGCTAAATACAAAGTTCATTTATATCGATAAGATCAAAACCACGAAAGGAAAAAAATACAAATCCATATAGAGTCCCGGGTCTTTCATCCTGCGGTATCGCAGCTCTAATGTATTCTAGTCCTTTTATTGACGGCAATTCTTGGCTATCAAGTAAGTTGACGTAAATGGCAAGCAGCTTACGTAATATCAAAGCGAGCTTGGGAGTGCACCTACCAAGGTATATACGCGCAATTGAGAGTTCACAGAATTTGAAGAGGCGTGTTTGTTTGAATGATTTGAAATTCGAAATCTTTAGTCTTCAATTGTTAGTACCGGTACTTCAATCACGTTGTCTGCCATTTTGGGATTCTGCCTCCCGTCACCACGCGCACTTTTTAACTGACCAATCAGTTCCATTCGCTAAAAAAAGGTTATTTGCATTTTTTCATGAGGCCACATTCCCCCTTATAGGGGAAGGAGCTCTCCGGTAACACAAAGCTTCGCAAGCTCGCTTTGATCAATGTTTTAATTGCTACGGTCGCCTTTATTACGATTAATTATTAGCGGCTCGATACACCGTCTTTTCAATTATTCAATCGAGTATTCGACCGAGATCCTCTTTCCTTTTCATTCCGTACCCTTTGTATTCGTAATCGGTTAAAATTGTAAGCGTCCTCGAGCTAGCATTTGCTAAAGGTTTCTTTATCGTATAGCAATCCCGAGAGTTCCGAAAAGCTAAGCTGCTACCGTATCTATTTCATTCTTTTAGCGTTCTTATATAATCGATCGTAAATACCGCTTTTTGAGTATCGAAAAAAAGGTCGAATTCGATCGTCGAATAAAGTCATTGAGCAGATCGATAATATAAGGTTCGAGTTTCGTATAAGAGAGTATATCATAATACTTATTTCGTATTTTCAATCGTCTTTCGTTCCGTCGGCAGATACGAAAGAAATAGCTAGCAGTAAAGTGTATCGCCTCGATAACCTCGAAAAGTGCGTTTTTTGATCGGCTTTACATATATCATAGAAAATATCGTAGGTTCGTAGCTAGCGCCGCGTACAGGCTCAGAAACCCGATCTTCGCTGGCCGCGGTGACAGACTAGAACATCTAAAATATTCAATTATGTGCGGCCAAATCGGGTGGGGCCGCATCTGGCAATTACAAAGGGGCTGCAGTTGTGCCGACCTTCCGTCTCAGGACCGGCCGCCGGCGTGGAATATAATTGTAGTACATGTAGTACAAGACGGAGTAGGTAGTCACAGTAAGAAGGAACAAGCCGAGTCTGGACGTCATGCCATCTACTTAGTAGCTTAGCTTAGACTACAGCTTAGACTACCTACATACCCAGTCTTTCGGTCTTCCATAGACGAATAATCATCCTCTCCTGTCCCTCTACACGGGATCACCACTTCTGTCACAGCGGATCATTCGGGACAGCTTTTCGCCGTATTTTCACTACAGCGCAATGTTTTGGCTTGCAGCTAATAAATATATATTTATTTCTATGATACAGATTTGTATGGCACTGTTTCCTAAGCTCTTTTTTAAAGAAAAAAAAGTTCCTATTCATGGCTGTAGTTTAGTCGGTGTTTTGATTAATGTGTCCCGGTTTGCTTACCTGGGATTTTTTTTTCTTCAGAGTAGATTCAAGGTAACCGACGATTATCTGCCGCGGACCAAACTAGCGTTTCTAATTCGCTCACTTGCCGGTCCTCTAGATCCCAAAGCGAGCGCCGGCAAGAAGTTCAAGGTCAAGAAAAAAAAAAAGACAAACGCAGCTATGCAACCATCTAGAACATTTGTAGTCATGTTTTCATTAGTAGTCCTGATTGCCTATGCCCCTGGATGCTAGTCATCCCAAGAGCCGTGCTCAATTCTACTATAAAATGTATATCGGTATTAGAAGCATACTAAGACGCGATGTCCTCTAATATTGTCTCTAGCTCCTCCTTCCGAAATGGCACAGAAAGCATTTCCGTGCCCATAGAATCCTTCCGGCTTTGTATCATTTGATGATCATGAAATCTGCGACGGTTAGTATATGGTCTCAAGGCATGGGGGAATGAGACCCACTCTTTTAACAGTGTCCTGAAGTTCATCTCGTTGCTGCAGATGAACTCCTCAGAAGCCTTCTGATACAAGACTCTGTACGCAACACCTGGTTCAGACGTCCTGGAGTGGCCGCTTCGTGGGCCTGGGACATCCTCGTCCTCGTCGCCTTCCACAATTGCCACAGAACTCTCATCCATTGCAGCCAGTTGCTCCCCTATCAAGACCCTGAACAAATTCTTGGCGTTCTCGGGCAAACTCTTCAGCACGAAGCTCACTCCCTCTTTCCCACCCACCCGTCTCCCACTTCTACCAAGTAATTCATGGACTTCCTCAACAATGTCGAATTCAGAAACGTAAGGTTGGAAAGTTGTACAATCATGGAACAAGAAGTTGTAGGTTGAGCGGAGAGAACTGTCCCACAAAAGTGGAAAAGATGGATGATCGGCTGATGCTACCAAGTGAACCTGGGGGTGAGAACTCAGGCGCGATAGGATGGTCTGGGTCGCAGGGCGCCGGAGTGGCAATCGGTCGATTGAGTGGATTATGAGTGTGACGTCCCGAGTTGTATCCTCCTCTAGCAAGGCAAAGAGGTTATCAAGCATCTCAGCCGGCTGTGAGCCCAATTTTGGTCCGCGTTCAGAGAATGCAGCAGCCACAGTATTCAAAACATCCCGAATTGTCAGATTGTTTACATAGCCATTGACGACCACTATCTTGGACTTCTCACGGTCTGTTTGCGATTTGTATATGTAATCCGCAAACTGCATTAGAAGAGATCGCTTGGAGCCCCAGCCAAACGCACATATGTTGAAATCTTGACTCAGTTCAAATCGCCACTGGTTGAAGGACCCAGCATGCAGCCGCTCCAAAAAAATCATATCTTCGGCATGAGCATCTTGCAACTTTCGAGAACGGCTGAAAAATTCCTCATGGTCGAGGAGAGCCAAAGAGGCAAGGTTGTTGTTGGAAGTTTTTGCTCGCACACTCCGATTCTGGAAGAAATACTTTTCGTGTGCGGAAAGATCTTGCGGAGGTGTCGGTGATCGTCGTTGGATTTTGGATCTCTTTTTCCTCCCACGTTTCGAAGGTGTCTCTGGGAGGGCGCTCTCATCAGGGACTTCGCTTATTTCCTCCTCGCCTTCTGCGCCGAGGCCTTCTTCGTCCGAGCCATAGATTCGCTGGGCAATATCCTCGTCCCTCTCATCATTGTCGCTAGTATTGCCTAATATTGTCCTCTCAATCAGCGTTCTGGTACTCTTCCTTCTCGCTGAACGATCCGCATTCCGTTCAATCCTTGAGGTACCGTTGTCCGCAGTATCATTTGTTTTTACCGGCGTTGCGAAGAGCCTCTTCCCTCCTAGCTGCTTCTTTTGCGTTATCCCATTCGATGATTTCTCAAGGGCAGACCTGCTCGGAGTCCTTTGATCTCCTCTAACGGGTGTATATGCCGCTTGTTCTGCCTCAGAGGAATCGCCTTCCAAACTATCTCCCTCGTCTGCCAATACATCATGCGTCTCCGTCCTAGAGGGCTCTGAGCTAGTTTGGGGCTCGTTTGCTTCGGGGTGTCTATTCCGTTGAAGAATTTCTCCGTTCAATGCGACTCTCGCTGAGCGAGATCTTTTCAGTGCTGGCCCGCTTTGCAGTCCGATGAGATCCTGACTCTTCCGCTTCTTCATGACCGCGCACTTGAAGAGGTGTTAGTAACTTGCAGTGATTGGAATATGCAGCGCAAGATTCAACCAGGATGGCAATTAATGTGTCGCCATGTCATACGCGAACGCGCCTCGGCCGGCGCGGCGGGATTAAATATTTGGCGATGACGCTAAAAGCGGGATGTTTTGCAAAAGATGCAGGGGTGTCGCGACTGCCAATCGAAGTAAACAAACTCTGCCGTCCACCAGGGTCCAGCTTCCATGACTGATTGATTGGCAACAGCGCATGCCCGGATTCCCCATTCTGCTCTGCTCTGCTCTGCTCTGCTCTGCTCTGCTCTGCTCTGCTCTGCTCTGCTCTGCTCTGCTCTGGAGCTTGGATTATTGAGTTGCTCCGACTTCGAGGAGCTGAGCTCACGACCATACTTGAAGAGATGCTCAGCTGGTGGATGGGCCGACCCGCTGAAGGGAATCGCCTTGACGGTGGGTGAGAAACGCGTTCTTTAAGTACCATACTTACTGATCCATTGTTAGAAGAAAATCAAGATCTTCCAGAGACCCCCGCTCCCGTCTTTGCAGCTCGCGCGTTGAAGAGTGCGATCTTTGGCACACCAGCTCCCCCAATCGACGACACGGTGTTTGAAGAGGAGAGGCAGACTATTGCTGCTGGCAGGGAGAGGGCGAAATCTCAAGCCCGAAGCTTGTCCCCTAACAGACCTCCAGGCATTCTGTCAACGCCAGGAACGGCAACGACACGACGCAAGACCGTATCCTTCGGGAACGAGATAGAGGACAAGCAGGATGAAAAGAGGAATGCGATTGAGATAGCTGGGCGAGATGTAGACCCAGACGATTTTGCAGGAAAGTTCCCGAGCCCCTTTGTCGCTAAATCGGATGCACCAACGAAGCCTGCGCGCAAAACTACTCTCACCAAGGCATTGGAAAACGCTAGAGAAGGGAAGGCAGCCAAACCTGAAACCACCCGTACATCCTCGGAGCCACAGCCGCCGTCCAAGAACATCAACACTACAAGTGATACAAATGGGTTTTCTTTAGAACATGGAAGACAGCAGAGTAGTCGAGATACATTGCGAAAATTTGAGGAAGGCGACACTTTAACCGGCGAGATGACAATGGATCTTAATCAACCCCACTCTCAATCCGGAAGATACTGGAAGTCTGAGTATGAGTCTTATCATGAGCAGGCATTGGCAGAGATGAAGAAGCTCATCGGCTACAAGCAACTCGTAAAGCAATATGCAAAGCTGAAAGATGCCGAGAATATTGACCTATCGGAAAAGCTGAAGGAGTACAAACAAGCGATCGTCAGCATGGAAGACAAGATCTCGCAGCTATCGTCTAGGGTCGCGCGCTCTGGAATAGGTGGCAGCGACGACCGCTCTCCCGAGTTGGTAAAAGAACTTGCTCGGCATACAGCCCTCTCTGTTCAGTACAAAAGTAAGGTCGCAGAGTTTGAGGCAGTGTTGGAAGATGATTATATCTCCAACAGCCCACTGAAACAGCGTCAGAATTCCTCTCACAGATCAGAAGAGAACAACATTTATACAACACTTGAGCTCGTCAAGGCTAGAGAGCAGCTGAAGGAAATGGCCAGCCTCAGAGATGAACTTCAAACACTTCGACAGTCGCTATCGACCGCAGAAAAGTCGACCCAGAAACTTCAAGAAGAGAACACCAGACTTACCGAACAGTTGATTCATGCAGATCTACGATTCGAGAAGCATATCGAGAAGTGTGAGAAAAAACGTAAATCCGTTGATGAGCAGCGACAGAAGCGAGATGAAGTGGTCCAGAACCTTCAGAGTGATTATGACAAACTGAGGGAAGCTGCAAAGTCACAACGCCGCGATTCCGAACACCTGTTGAGAAAGCGACATGAACAAATCGTGGAATTGAAGCAGGAAATTGCTTCGCTACGAGGGGCAGGCTCAAGCGCCCAGGAGCTTCAACGGGCTTTGCAAGAAAAAGACACTCAACATAATCGTACCATCTTCGAATATGAGACACAGATTGAGAATTTGAAGGCGAAGCAAGAACTTGACTCCAGAGTTGAATCATCTCTAAAGGATTTAAGGGGCAGACACTACGATGCGCCAAATACAGCATCCAAACCACATTCTTTGAATGAGAATGCCCAAGTGAGGGAAAGCTTTATCCCAGTTTCTAGCCAGTCAATTTCTCGACCCTCGAAGGTTCTCATGTCATCGAAGAGTGCTTACTCCCAAACGCCGAATGGTTCTCCCAGACGCCGGTCATCTCACTCTGCTTTGTCGGAACTCGTCAATTTGGAAAAAAACCAGCCGACACCGTTCCAACGATCAGGGCCAGTCCAGCATACTCCTCTGACTCACGTCACACCACTCTTAAGCCGCTTTTCTAACATGTCTTTGGACTCGCCCGATATGCAATTACCATCGCCAGAACCATCGCTACCACGTGCGACCAGTCGGGCTATTCACGAAAGAAGCTGCCATCCAAATCATGGGCCCTCCATGTTCAACATCGCATCAAGTCCCCCAAAGGCTTCTATTGTCCGACCACGAGTTTCGAATGAGCTTCCAAGGCAAAAGTCGAACAGCAACATGGGTTCTCGCTTGACGACAAATCTCGCCTCAAGCCGTGGTGCCACTTCGGACACAGCAAGGGTGCGAGGTTCCATCCCACCCGAAAGAGCTGCGGCGGCGAAGGCTAGATTAGAGCAGAAGCAAGCGGAGAAGAGAAGAGCAAAGGCTGCCAATGTGGACAAAGAAAATTGCCTGAATTGAGTGTGGATTTTTCAGCATTGCACTGGGCGTCAATTGTTCTGGAAGCCGGCCCTCAGAGAAGGCAGCATTGGTCAGTTTGTGGTGTTAATGCAAGGAAGAATAACCGTACGATGATACCATGACCTGGGGCGTTCTGTTCTCTCGCACAATTATTTTACACAGCGAAGGAGTTGGTGGTATTCTTTCTTCGGATATATCCGTCAGTCGGTGAAGGTGTACTCTGGAGAATGTCAATGAGCAATAAATGTGCGAGACTTGCCACCTCTTGTCTCTATTGATCTGCAGTGCACTGAAGTCGTGATCCATGGTACTGCGTAGTCGATTCAAGCGAATTGTGGGATGTACTTATTTCGGTATCAGTCTTTCTTAGGTAGCTATCACCCGACTCGGATGGATTTCCGGACGGTTGTTGATCACATACCTGAATCGGGACTCTCACAGAATTAAAAAAATCTCTACTGCAGGTCTCATCTACAAGTTACTGCTCATTCCGGTCTCATGGCATCTGTCACCACTAACGCATATCAAATTCTCTATCAGGAAGGTTCCCAAGACCTCCCCATACTAACAAGCCCTTTCGTCCCCAATCCCTCGGCGCCACTGCCATAACTCGAGGTTGTTGTTTTCTTGGCAATAGTAAGATCTCGATACCGGTAACAGAACACGAAGTCGGTTTTCTTGTCGAAGGGGTCGAAGAGTCCTGTAGGACAGTAAGAACTCAACTGATTTCTTCACCTCTTCAGATGCCTGGAGCACCTGGTCAGTGCCACGTACTGTATCCTATGTTTCTCTGTCAATCAAGAGCCAAGAACAAGATTTTATAGTATTACCAGACGGGCCCTTAAACGACAATCCTAAATAACAACAAACGGTGGTACAAAATCATCGGCACCCTCACCACAACAAGCAGCCCTTGGTAGTGCTACAAGGTGGCCCAGGTGTTCCTCACAACCACCTCCTCACCCCCTTCGAGATATCTCACACTTCCATAGCCGTCATTTCTACGACTGACTAACTCAGCTGTGGAAAATCCACGCATCTGCCCTTTCAGCCATCTCCCGAGACGTTCTGGACGCCCTCTCTCTTTTCATCTCCGAGCGTGAGAATCACGTCTCCCACCTGAAGATACAATCTTATTATATTCCTGAACAGTCATGGGGTGGGATGCCTGGTGGGCAGTTTGCGATTATACAGCCGACAAAGACGAAGAATAGAGTTGATTATTGCGGACTCGCCGGCTAGCATGGAGCTGGTAGGTGTAAACCATCACCTGCTTCCTCTATTGTCTTCGGATTCCCGACCCTCAAGGCGAGCTTAAGGAGCCGGGATCTCCAAGGGTCGCTTGAAATATTGGAGTATCCAGGATTGGCTTCAATGAAGTGGGTGAAAACGGCCCATAGGTTGACGACGGGATTGCCGGACGGTGTGCAAAAGGTCTTGGAGAGGTGCGAGAAGGAGGGAAAGACTGAGAGTGAAATGGGTAGGATTTGCGGACTCTTCGCACATGCCCCATCAGGAGGAGACAGATGAGTATTTAGAGGTCGTCCAGAACTTTCTGAAGGATTGAATGGGACGTCGACGTTCCTGAGGAGGGGAATGGGGGCTCGAGTAGATAAGCGAAGTTACGGTACTGGTACCAATACTGGGATCAATCTATGGGTTGCAAGACTTCAAGAGGATTTGCTTCTCCTTGGGATCGTGGGACAAGCTGGGTACAGATTATAAAAAGCACATTCTTAAAAATCATTGAAACCAAAGATTGGAAAGCCAGTCAACAACGGGAGAACGAGTAATGTAGAGTTCCAATGCGAGATGAAATTATTCTTAGCCATCAGTGGCGAAGTCCCTCTGTCCTCGACCGTCTCATGGCAAAGAAGGATGACAAATATGTCACATGACTGGTCTGTGGTTGTGCACCGATAAGACGGCGCTAATTTCCTTATCGACGGCGGTTCATTTCTTGCCTCTACTCATTACCGTACCGGAGACCGAGGGTTCTAGACCAACCACGCTACTCCTTGACTCGACCAGCACTTGACTCGACTCGAGACTATAAATTGAATCCCCCCTCGTCTCTTCTGTTCTCTACCGGGCCATCATACTACCACCTCGAAGAACCCGAACCCGATCCCGATCGATCACTGCCTCCTGTCTCATCCTTTGGACTCACGTCCGAGCACACAAGTCACCTCCTTGAAACCTGCAACTCGTCCTTGTTAAATACCACGACAGAGGAAGTACACCCTCGGTCCGCCAAAGACAGATCGCCAATTACTACCAGTCTTTACCCAAACACATCTTCTCCGTCAGAATGTCCAACGCAGCTGGCGCAAAGGGCCGCTTGATGAGCGAGTACAAGTCATTGGAGAAGGAGAAGTGGGTCAAGATCGATGTAAGTGATGAGTTGTATCGTCATGCCCATCTATTTGCTAACAGCATGAAAGCTGAAGGACGGTTCCCTGTTCAAGTGGAACGTGAACTTGATTGTCGTTAACTCTGAGAGTGCTTTCGATGGTGCATACCTCAAGGTAAGAATACTTCCGAGCACCTGCATAAACTGAGATACTGACGTGCTTTCAGTGTGAGATGAGCTTCACAGAGAACTACCCTTACTCCCCACCAAAATTCAAGTTCCTCCAACCCATCTACCACCCCAACATCTACCCCGATGGCAAGGTCTGCATCTCGATCCTGCACGCGCCTGGCGAGGACGAGCAATCCGGAGAGCTGGCCAGCGAGCGGTGGTCTTCGATCCAAAGTGTTGAGAGCGTCCTCCGATCCATCCTGCTCCTTCTCGACGATCCCGAGATTAGCTCCCCTGCCAATGTGGATGCCGGCGTTCTGTACCGAGACAACAGAGAAGAGTACAATAGAAAGGCCAAGGACACTGTCACCGCATCCAAGAAGGATATACCCGAGGGCTTCGTTATGCCAACTACCCTGATTGTGGCTCCTCCTCCTAAGATAGTCGAGGACGACGACTTCTGGAATGAGAGTGGGGACGAGGACGACTTTGGCGCTAGCGATAGTTCCGGCGAGGATATCGATATGGATGAGGATGAGGAGGAGGAGGAGGAGCTTTGAATGTGTTGTTCGGAGCTCTTTCTCGTGTGTAAGCCTACACGATTCCAGGGAAAATCACGCACTGCTAAGGGGGATATTTTTTGTTTTTGTTTTTGAGATCGGTTTGGCGTCACATTTTCACTGCATAGCATAGCGTGGCTGTCCCAGCGGCGTAATGGTCACCCGAAGGTATAGTAATCCTGCATAGGCGTCTTTGAAGGCTGGGGTCGACACAGGTTTGCCTTCTACACTCGGCGTAATGGGGCTGGATTTGCATACATATCGAGGGTTTGATTGATATGGGGGAAGAAATGGGAAACATGTGCTCTTGTCTAGCTACTTCGTAGTAATCTCCACATCCGGACTTTACAAACTACCTGTGTCTACTGCGGGTTGATGGTGATTGTGCAAGCCCATTTGGACCTTAGAGATATCATAAGCACCGTAAAGTTCTGGCCAAGCAGTATTTCCAATTTGGCTGATGGAAGTTCTGAAAGCACCACCGTGCACGTGTTAGGTTCGGCAGGGCTCAGATCGATAAGTAGTATAGTACTCTACGAAGTACTGTGAATTACATTTCCGGAGCCATAGCTTCTCATCCATCACTCCTCCCCCACTTGCAGATCTTCGCATGCCCTTTCCGAGCTTTAACTATCTCAAGCTTCAGCAAGTCATCTTCCATCCCTTTACGTAGCTCATCCATGCACAAGCAGCCCCTGTCTTACCTACTTACGGAGTGCTATCGCCTTGCCGACAAGAGCAAGAGGCGCATGCGACCATGGCCGCAAACTTCCAACCATCCGCGGAGCAGGTCGATCAGCTTTTGATGTTAGTTGGCCAAGCTATTACTCGACCAGAAGCACTAGCAAGACTGAAGGTAGGTCTTGCAGCTGTTATGGCAGAGCTGTGGTTAACACATTCAGGGCAACAACAACAGTGTCGAGCAGGCTTTGAACGAATATTACGATGATGCAGGCTCCGCGAACAAAGTATGCTTCCAGAGGTAGCTCGCAGGGTCAGCTGGCATGCTGAAAACTTTGTAGTATCAGTGGGACGAAGGACAGTTCAACAGTGATCGTGAAGGAGCAGGCAATAGTCACGATATCTGTAAGATCTTGCCAGCTTCTGCCTAGCCATGAATGCTAAGCTACTGTGACAGCCTTCAATATACATGCCCCGGACGATTCAGGACCTTACAACCGATATGATGGAGCCCCATCCCGTCCACCTTCGAGAACAAGCAATAACAAGTCTCCCCTGAGCAAGGTTATTGACTTGACTGCGGAGCATGCTGCAGGTCCGTATAGCACATGTAGTGGAAGTGCCATAGTGCTACTAATTTGGAAGTCGTTCTGAACTAAGCTGACCAGGTACTCTAGCAGATCCAAGAAACTCATCTTATTCAAATAACCTCGATTATGCCGATTCGGAGCTGGAACAAGCCCTTGCGGCCTCGAGAGCGGACTTGGGAATGCCACCGCAAGAGAGTGGTATAACTGGAACAGAAAAAATTCACTTTGGACCAGCAAATCGAACTCAGTACGAGCCAGGCCAGTGGGAACTGGTGCCTATGGGAAGAGCATCAGCCCAAGAAATCATTCTGGACCCCGAGCCTGCAGATCGAAAGCGAGAGCCCGGTAGTCCGGCATTCTTGAAGCCAATGGTCGGGGACAATCGTCTGAACGCCGTGATAACAATCTACCACGCAATCCCACTCATCAGAAACCTGTTTCTCAATAGTAAAGATGTACTTCCGAACTACGGACATGATCCAGAGTGGTGGTCCGGAAAATCGATCGAACAGCAATCAACGGTCACAATGGAAGGTGCCCCGCCAGCATACGACCAGGTCGATCGTGAGCTTCAACGCCTCATGGCCTTTTTAGACAATACAGAGCGGAGTTATGGCTCAGTTGAAGCCCTTGCAAATTTCCAAGAGGTGAAACAGGCAGTGAGGAAGACGCAAGGCGTTCCGGCAGCTGTATTCCGGGCCTGGAAGAACATTTTTGAGAACAAGCAGCCAGGGATGGTCAGGCAGATTTTCAGTACGGGTGTGCAGCAAGAGGACGCAGTCGAGGAGCCAACGAGCTTTGCTATTCTAGAACTCGACCTCCCTTCAAATGATTCGTTTCAAGAAACTCTTTACGATGTCTGCGACGAAGTTCTATGGCCGATCGCAGGAGATGATTCGGAGGTGTCAAAAAGCTCTTACCTATCGCGAATTGCGGAGGTCATGACTTTCGCCGTGGATGGCGGATATGAACATAAGAAGGTTGATATACCTGCTGTATGGTACCCAGACCGCTACTTGAAACCCGCCAGGCAGGCTGCTCTGGATATGCGTTTGCAGAAGCGCGAAGTTGAACAAAAGCTGCAGAGGATCCAGCTCACTGAAGAGAAGCTAACGAATATCCCACTGAAGACTGGAAAGATCGTGAAAGTCCATGACCTGTTTGAGGCATCGCTGAAGCATGACAAGGCTTTAGTTGCCGATAATGGACAGCTTATCGATGTTGATGTTGACATGATGGCACCTCGGTGTAAGAGCGATGCGGCCATAAGGCTTTCAGAAGAGCTCCGGAAAGTCGTTGCCAGTATCGACAGGAAGCTCATTGGTAAGCGATTTCTCAATTTCTCTCTATGGCAGCTAACACAGCTCAGCTTTGAGGGCTGAGAGAGAAAAGGCCCGCTCGGAACTGCGGAGTCTTTCGAAGCTCTACACCGAACCCTCAAACGACCCCCAGGCCCCGGACCTCCACATGTACACTTTGCGTGGGGTCAGCACCACCAAAAATACTATGTACATGTGTAAGCGAGCCGAGGCGAAGTTGATCAATATAGAAGCGGACGAGGGCGAACTTCTAGGTGCGAATGAGCAGTGGTGGAGAATCAAATATACCCCTGGAGTCTGCACCTCTGTGGCTGTCGAAGTAAGCTTCTGTTCTACTCACTCTGCGAGCAGACGGAAGGTCGATTTACTAATCCAATCAGAAAACTACCGAGGAAGCTGTCCTTGAAGCTGCAAGGAACAGTGACAAACCAATTCTCGTGTACGCAAGCGAGAAAGCGATGACTGTCCCACACCAAGAATTGCCCAAAGCTCTTGAGGTTTGTTGATTGAATTTATTCTGAGTACGACAGCGCTAATCCCTAGATGCAGACCTTTGTGCGCTTCGACAACCGAACGTTCCGGGCCGAGTTCCAAGGGTCGGAGGACTCTCACACTGTGGACGGAGATTCTCCTACTGGTGCTGGGAACCTTCCGGTTGGATCATCCCCTCCAAGAAAACGAAAGTACGATGAAAGCTCATTAGTTAACCAGGAATCTAATCACTATGCACAAGTGAACATCGCTGCGAGAGAGATGCGCAATAACGCAGGGTCTGGTGATGTGATCATGGGGTTTGATCCATCGACTGACACTGGGTTCGAAAGCAGACCTACGACTCAGGAGATGCAGGAACGTAGCGGGATCCCCATGCTATCGGCTCACGCAACCGGCGGCGCGACAAAGCTCAGTACCGTGGATAGCATGGATCTCGACCAGGTCATCGAAGACGATGAGGTTGCTCGCGAAAGCGCTGCCGTCAAACATGTTGGTTTCGCAGAATGAGAAGATGAACGCGGGGAGCTTGAAGCGCAAAAATGGAATTTGTGGTTGTAATGAAGCGAGATACCCATTTTGTATAAATTTGGTACGGATTGTAATCTTGTGAGCTTCTCCCTTCGAGAGCTGTACCCAGTTGTCCAATGGCAGATTCGAGGCAGAAGCATGTATTTTGAAAAGGCTCAGACATATAGAGATATTCCTATCGTCAGTGTAATTGCAACAGACGCCTGGGCAATGAAGAATCACGGCTATATCACGCTGGGGACGTTCATGCAGTTTGACAGGTTTGACTGACAACTGATGTCTGTGAAACCAGCGGTTTCTCGGCTCGGGGAGAGGAGGGGAGCTTTCAAATTTGTGAACAACGTCAATAAAGGAGAGCCCAGTCTAGTCTGGTGTCTATTTGAATACTAGGTACCTGATCCAACCCATCCTCAGAGGCATTACATACCTTCTACTACACTGTTTCCTTCTTACTATCATATAGCCTGGCCGAATACTTCTTTTGGTGAAGTACCCACGACCCTGGCTGTAGCTTTTGCAGAAACTCCTTGCAATGATGGATAGACAAAATGGATGGACGTGGACGTTTTCAATGGTTTATTCCGGCTTGACCTCCTCTGGGTTGGATTTGCCCCAACTATTTTTGGCATTATGGGTTTTGAACTGTAGTGGCAGCTCCGATCAAGCTACGGAGATCGAAGCTTCGCGAACGTTCCAACCAAGAAACATTCTCGGCCAAGTTGTCGTCACCGCCAATTCCATGGCGGGGTCAGCGGCGACCTGATAAAGTGGCGTGCCGGACAAATTCCTTCCCAAGATCTTCGTCTCATCCACCTCACCAAAGCCGAGAGAAAAGAAAGAGACTGGTACTCTCGTTACTGGACTTCAAGTCATTGGCCAATTGAGATTTCAAGGCGCAACAAAACAACAAAGGCCTATTGTCTAATAAACTCGAGCCTGGGTAACTTGTGCCAACTTATTCGCTAACAAACAAACAATCAACCACACGATCAGCTGTTCGTTACACTCAGCCCAACTAAACCAACCCAACTCAGCATTCTCGTGCGTTGGCAACGAACCACAACATTCGAGAGCCTTTCAAATCCCAACTCCGAATCGGGTCAAATAGATATCCGACAGCCCACCCTTAACTGGAAGTGGCAGAGACTATACGTTCCGAAGTCTACAATCACCTCAGCCATTTTCTTTCACCGCACGATTCTCTCTTAAATACAGCCAAACAAAGCCCACAACCTGAGTTCTCTAGAATCTACACACCACATTCGCAGCCATGGTAGCAGAAACTAAGCTCTACGACGCGCTGGGCATCAAGCCGGAGGCCTCCCAAGATGAGATCAAGAAGGCATACCGGTAAGTGACCCCCTTGTCGATACTGCACCCAGCAAAGCTGACATTAAAACAGGAAAATGGCACTCAAGCACCACCCGGACAAGAATAAGGACAACCCCACCTCCGCAGACAAGTTTAAAGAGGTATCCCAAGCCTACGAAATCCTATCCGACCCCGAGAAGCGCACAACCTACGATCAATATGGCCTGGAGTTCATGCTACGCGGTGGACCTCCTCCGCCAGACCCGAGCGCGGGTGGAAACCCATTTGCAGCAGCAGGAGGTATGCCCCCAGGATTTGATTTTGGCGGAGCAGGAGGCATGCCAGGAGGTGGTAGAACCTTCCACTATGAGTTCAGCCCTGGTGGAGGTGGTGGCGGCGGTGGCGGCTTCAGCTTCAGTAACCCAGAAAGCATTTTCTCGGAGTTCCTGCGTGGACAATCAGGTATGGGAGGGGGCGGGGATGGCTTTGAGGATATCTTTGGTGGGGGTGGGATGCCAAGATCACGACAGAGTGGTGGCAGGACGAGAGCTGCAGGATCAGGGGCTGAGTCGGCGAGATACAGAGCTGCTACGCCGGAGGTCACAACGGTGGAGAGACCGCTGCCGTTGACGCTGGAGGAGCTATTCAAGGGCACACACAAGAAGATGAAGATTAAGCGAAAGGCATTCGATGAAGTTACGGGGAAGAGGACGACACAGGATAAGGTGCTGGAGATGGATATTAAGCCCGGGTTGAAGAAAGGGAGCAAAATCAAGTTCAAGGGTGTCGGGGATCAGGAAGAGGGTGGACAGCAGGATTTGCACTTTATCGTCGAAGAGGTAAGGAAACCCAGCATGGGCTAGACTTTTGAAACTACCATGCTGATCTCTCAATAGAAACCACATGTCATGTTCACCCGCGATGGCGACGACATCCACTACACAGTCGACCTGGATCTTAAGGAAGCTCTTACGGGGTGGAAGCGAACTGTTACCACTATAGACGGCAGACAAATCCCCCTCGACAAAGCAGGTCCCACCCAGCCGGGCCAAACAGAAACCTTCCCCAATCTCGGCATGCCACTCAGCAAGAAGCCAGACCAAAGAGGAAACTTCGTTATCACGTACAACGTCAAATTCCCTAGCAGCCTGACGATGGAGCAGAAGAGGAAGTTGAAGGAGATCTTGTAGGATTAAAACGAAGGGGATGAAGGGGGAAATGACAAAGTGAGCTTGGTAGGGAACGGAGTTGACTGGAAGCATGTCTTTGGCGTTAATGGAGTCAGAACCAGATATCTCGACGATTGTTGAGAGGATCATCCACGATGATTAAGTGCAAGGGCACGTATTTAACCGAATTGAGGTAACTTGCCGCTTTTAGCAGAGTCAGAGGGCCTCTGCCTTTTGATCATCCATACACGAAGACTTTTTCTTTATAAAAAAAACCTCGATCACAGTGATTAGTAAGTCTCATGATATTTCAATGTTTCGCTTGCGCATGGCTTTCGGCATAATAGGAAAAAAGTGCAAAACTCATCCGGAAAGCTCGTCACATAGGTATGTTACAAGGTTTCCAACTATAAACCTAATTGAATAGGTTTTACCGGTAATCGGGGAGGTGTCAATCGGCGGAGTTCGGATAGCCATGTAGCTGTTGAGCCACTGAGCCATCGCGTGCGTCCGCCAATTGACAGAAGCAAGATATACATTTCCTCATATAAAGCAGGCATATTTTTTTTTAGGTAAGCGGTAACCGACTGGCGAGAAGATGTGATGAATTTTCGCGTATTGACTGACTGTACGTACGCAGCAGACATGGAAGGGGTGACCGTCATTGAACATCAATCAGATATGCCATGCCGAGTCAAGGGGGGCCGTCTCCTCCGTAAATAAGCGCTGAATCGAACCCGTCTTCTCACGAGATCATGATGTCTGTTCTGGCCCATCGTGTTTGGTACAGTATTTGGTACAGTACACGGAGAATTGCAAAAGCAGGAAGGAACATCCTAGCCAGTCCACACGGAACGCGGCAACAAGCCCAGAAGAGTAGCGTATTATCATTAGAGCTCGGAACCCTCTTCCTACTGTATGTACAGCTTCTCTAGCATACAACCTACCAAATCGCTCTTCTTAGCTCTTACAGCGCCCCCCCAACCAAGGCTACGATCCACATCGCAACCCTGACCTTGATCCCCACCCTCCTCTCCGTACTGGTGAACTCGTCCATCCCCACCCTGCCCGCAAACCTCCCTAGCCCATCCCTCTCCTCGCCCAGCCGCGCCTTCAGACGGTCGTCGCTCGTGAGGATCACGGTTCCGACTTCCAGATCCAGCCCGTAGCTCCTCTTTGTGTAGTTACTGCTCCCGACGACGCTGATGCTTGGATCCCTCTCGCCGGCCAAGCTGACCCAGAGACCTTTGGCGTGGTACGTCCAGCCGCCCGTCTCGCCTACGGTGCCGTGGCGCCATTCCTTCAGCGTGATGTCGTTCCCACGTCCCGATTTCTGGGCCGCCTCGAGGAAGCGGCGGGAGAGGAGCGTGTAGGCGGCTGGGAGCAGGCCGGAAACGCCTTTGGAGCCGTAGAAGCCGTTGGCCCACGGAGAGGCGGTGATCACGGTGTTGTCCCTCGATGCGGTCTTGAGGAGGAGGCTGGTTAGCGAGGGGTGCGGGTTGAAGTAGCCGGCGGTGAATGTCCAGGAAGAGTTGCCGAATGGAGGGGCCGAGAGAGTCCTAAGGATGGCTGTTATGGCTGGGAGTTCGGTTGACGTGTCGGGCGCGAGGAGAGGGGTGAACTGAGAGACGGGATAGACTGTTGTGTTGAGCGTTCGGTCTGGTGTCTTGCTCTGTGCAGTAGCTGAAGGTTTGATGAGTGAGGTTAGGAGAGTGGAGGCTTGGGAGATGTATCTTGCAGGGGCGTCGATAGGCGACGGAGCGAGATTTGAAGTTGGCCATTCGAGCGTGTAGCCAGCTGGCAGCTGAGGGTCCGGAGTGACGAGGAAGCTGATGTTTGCGACGGCATTGTGGATCTTGGAGAAATATTCTGTGATCTCTCGAGACGAGAAAATGTGATATCTATCTTGACGGTCTGTGAAGTAGTCACTAGACAGGTTCGCGCTGTTTTCTCATTAGCTTAGTTCTGACAGCAGTATGCTTCACTCACCCCGAGATGATAATCTCATCATCTACTCCATACAGTTTCATATGCTGCAATCCCCAACCCTCGTTGATCCGCTTGGGAATATACTTCTTTCGAAGCCCAGTCAGGTTGGGGGTATGGTACATGCGGATTTCGACCCTGTCTGCCCCGAATTCAGACACCAACGGGGCCAGTAAAGACGCGCAGGATGCATCGGGAGACTCTCTCGTTCCCCGGAGAGCATCTGTCAAAATACTGAGTTTCAACTTGGGCTTTGCCCGTAAAGCTTGCTGCAACGTAAAAATCTGCACAGCATGAGTCAAAGTCCAATCCAGACCTGGAATTGGAAGATATTACAAGCTCATGTTCCGTTTTTCCTATGTACAAAGTAGACAGAAATATCCGATTCTCAGCGCCCAGTATCTTGCCCTGCTTCCATCAGCACATATCCACTCATCCAGAAACAGTGAGTTGAGCGCACCTTCAGCGTCTGGTAGAACTCTGACGGCGACCGTAGGATGTTTATCTGTGACCCTTGAATGTGAAATCTCGGTGCTATCCTGTCCAGCTCGTTCGTGAACGCCCCTAGCATTGAAGCTGGGGATGTGCTGCCGGCACTGTTCGCGAGGGAGGATGTCGAGGTCGAGTACCGGCGCTGATTAGCTTTAAGCATTCGTGGTCGGCATGACTGCAACCTTCGAGCTGCGGTGCATCGCATAGTACTCCTCACTGTTGTGGTCAAGTAGTCTTGACCATATATGGCTTTTCCAGACGGACGGTTTGTTGAGTTTGGTGGGCTTGACGTTCGATACGCTAGTACATTTTTAGTGGATCCCAAAGCCTGCCTCGACGACTTTGATCAACTCTCTTTCGACGTTCACAGTCATTAAACCAACAACACCATGTCGACTATTCTGAGAACGTTGCGCAACCTGCGCAGAGTTGGTCTACGTGTAAGCTGTCTGACTCTGGGTATCGAGGAGCTCGCTGACGTTGGTGACAACAGGATGCCGCACATCAGATGCAAGTACGTCTTTACGCCCCTCTATGAATGATGATGGAGCTGCTGTTGATCGAGGTTTTCTTGCCATAGCACTCAGGTATTTCGGTCCTCTAGAACTGGCTTGGACTGGAACTTATGCGGAATGCAGGTGATACCAAGGCCGGCACCTTGATTGCGAAGGATCGGTACGGCAACAAATACTACGAGAACTTGGAGGAAGAATTGCCTTGTGAGCTGCGCCAGAGGAGTATGATCAGGGAATGCAAACTTATGGGTTAATAGTGCGCACAAGATGGGTGGACTACAAGGACTACGAATGCGATCCGTAAGCTCTCCTCCGGATGCCCAAGCCCATATCCTGACTAGAAACAGCACACAGATCGAGCCCGGATGGCGCGCCTGGATGTCATACACGGTTGACAAGCCACCAACTCAGGACCCTCTCTTGCAAACCAAAGTTCGGCCGTGGGAGCTGCCAGACCATCGACCCAACATGACTTTCAGTCGCGCAGCATACAAGCCATATTCAACGTGAGGACCTTCTGTTAGCTGGACTTCTTGGCATATAGTCTGACATGCATGAACAGTGTGAAGCCAAAGCTGAATGCCTGGACACCGGTTGTTGCTCAGCGGGGTTAGGTAGATAGATTGTGGTTACTGGGATTGTACATTGTAGTTTACAACGGAGTTGATTCACCGCCCTGCTAGATGTATGCCGTCAATTTTTGCTTGCAACTTCGGATACGGATACGATTGATTCTAGAATTTCTAGTAGATGCCTGGCTTGAAATTGGGATCGGATTTTTAAGAACAGTTGACGGCAAGTCTCAACGAAGGACTGGATCTCAGACAAGCTTTCTAGCTCACTTCATTCAGCCTTAAAAATCCAGTCTTCGGCGCGTGGGGAATGTGGTGGCCATGGTGGTTGTGGTTGTGTTTGTGTTTGTGGAAGATTCAAACCTGGGAGGATCAGACACTAAGTATGTCTGGCTTGAGGGTAACACCGGTTGCTTGATTTGGTTTAACTACATGAGTCAGTCACTAGAGGCCTCTTCTCCCCTTGGAAAGAGCGAATCAGAATAGTGCCAGTCAACGCTTCTTTCATCCCCTCTCGATTGCGACTGTAACATGCGAGCAGCAGAATAGATGAGCAAACAGAGAGTTTTTTCTAGTGACGCCTGACTCCTGAAGCCTTCTTCCATCTTCGTCATTGAACTCATGCAAACGATCCATAGGGTATCCGCAACTCCCGTCCCACCATCTCACTACGCTCATCGTCAAAAATTACGCCCCCAGGTCGTAGTAAATGCATTTCCCTGTCCTAAAATTATAGATGAACGAGTTCCGTGTGATGTCTTTGTTCTGATGTGCCAAGGTATTCATCAGATCTTGTATCTCACCTAAGTATCTCTTTTCACTCGTCTGAACAGTTTGAGTGACCTGTCTCCAGCTTTCCTGATCAGATAGTCTTGTTCCACGGATTAACTCCATGACTTGGTCCGTCGTCTCAATCGCGGCTATTGGACCATCAAGCAATTCATAGGCGACGGATCTGGCTCGTGCTTGAGCCTGCTCTACGATGTTCCGGCGATTTGACTTCTTGCTTTTCGTGCCGGCTACCAAGACTCGGACATCTTGCTCGTGGTCGGGGGCAGCACCTGAGTCAGCTTGGCTGCCATGGCGTTGAAGCTTTGTTCGTTGATGTATTCCGTTTCGTTGGTCTCGCTCGCGAATTTCCCCGTTTAGCCAGGCTAAGAGCTGGGTAGAGTGAATGTCGACATCATCCTTTTTGTCCTGGCTCTTCACTTTGAGGATCGAGTCTTGCTTGATTATCACTACCCAGGAGTGTTGGTTGTCACGGTATTGAGATGTCAAATCCTCTGGTGATCGCGAGTCTCGTGCTAGCTCGGCGCTGATGTCGTTTCTCCAAAGACTTTGGACAATGTCGACACCCACGGATCGGAGGATGGCAGCGTCGTGGCTTGCCACAAGTACATCGCACTGCCAAAGAATTAGCGAGTCCCGCTCACTAAAGCAGGGCGGTACTTGCTCTCTTCGTCTTCCAAATACCGTGGAGGTCTTCCTCTACTTTCTTCAAGAAGCCTTTTGCGCTTGCTTTTGGAAGACGGGCCATCTTCTCCCACGCCAAGTTGAAGCCGACAGCATGTCTCGCTTCAGAATGGCCCCCATTCTTGTGTCCATGTTCTCTAACTAGAGAATCGTAGCGTCCACCAGCAGCAAAGACGTCCTTTACCTTCCTATCGAATAGGCAAGAGAAGACTATTCCTCCTTTACAGAACTTCTCCTGCAAACTACCAAGTGGGCTAATGTAGATCTTACTATGCACGTCGAATCTTTTAGTATATTCAAACACATCTCGGAGGTGGGCGATGGATGAGGCTGCCCTCTCAAAGGTATCGGTTCCTTCGAACAGGGCCTTCAACTTTGAGAACGCTTTACTGGGAGTATCTATCTTCGTTAGGGACCAGTAGCACCGAAAAATTCTGCACTCTTACCACGGAAGTCAAAACTTTGCAGATCATCTACACTAGGTGCTGACACTCCGATCACTGGTGATCGAAGCTCTGTTCGTATCTTCTGCCACGTGTAAGACTGTATGTTAAGCTTGCTGAGAGTATCGGCAACCGCCTGACGGATACTCGGTTCAATCCTGCAAAATTCAAAGATGAGGCCAAGAAGATCCGAATGGTTTATGTGAAAGCACATCTGGGTGGCCGCAAGAGATGGAAAGCTTCCGACAATCTCATCCAAGACCTTGATGACTTCTGCCTCTTTCAGCGCCAAATCCAGGGTATCGCTTGATACAATGTCGAAATCGACTTCGCCGAATGCTAATGGCTGGCCTCCAACTTCTCGATCTCTGAATACTCGACCGAATGCGAATGAGCGCTGTACTGGTGGATCATGCTTGGCAATAGCTCTAGCGTGTGGGAGAGTCAGGTCATAAGGCAACTGCAACAAGTTACCATGTGCATCAAGGACTTGAACGGCATTGGAACCATAGTGGCCTGATCGAGGAAACAAAAGGGTCCGTGGCGTCTCCACTGCTCCATGATGTCGGAAAATCGAGATCAGCTTTTGCTTGACTAGGCCCTGGAGCAGAAGGTCGCTTGCACTGTGGTTCGCAATACCCATCTCCCAAGCGTAGTCCTTGGCTGGGCTGATTGGTATCGTAAACAATGCTTGCATCGCCTTGTCATAGTAGGGAGATTTCGAGTCGGTTAGACCAGCAAGTGCCTGACGGATAGTCTCATTTTCCATTTGCATAGGAAGCTTACCACTTTTCAGGAGTTCTGAGCTTGACGGGCGATCTTTGGGACTGTGGTTGAGGAGCGACAGTATAATATCTGTCTGCACAAGGAATTCCGATGGCTTGAATTCTGCTGGGAAGACGGGCTGCTTCTGCCTTAAGCCTTCGCCGACACGTGCTCGGTCCATACCAGGAACAAGAGGACGGAAACACATCTCGAAGAAGATGATACCAAGGGAATACATATCGACTTTACTCGTATACGACCCCCCAGCAGAGGATCTGACCTCTGGAGCAACATAGAACGCAGTTCCGATGGATCTTGTCATATCACCACTCAAATGTAACGCTGCTGAAGAGGACTTGTCGATGGTCGTATACTGCCCGCTAGTAGCAAGTCCGAAATCCCCTATCTTGACATTCGAGGCAGCGTCAATGAAGATGTTCTCTGGTTTCAGGTCGCGATGAACAATGTTCAGACCATGAATATGTGCGAGTCCTTCTAAAACCTGTCTAAACAGACGCCAGATTTCCTCTTGATCCTTTTGCAAACCTAATCTGATCAAATCGCGCAGGGTCTTCTTTTCGCAGTATTCCATTGAGATATATAGAACGGTTCTGAAGGGACGTTGAAAGCGCGAACCAGATCTCGTTCGTTTCGGTGCCTGTGGAGGTCAGCCCATACACATGTACTTCGTAATCTCCGATGTCCCAATGCATTTTGAACAAGTTCAGACTCAAATCAGGAAACATTGACGACAAAACTGCTCGCAGGATCGATGACATTCCAGATTATGCAGAGGATGATCGGATATATTTGTTACTTACGAGGTCTTTGAGCTGGTTTGGATCAACTGAGCTCTGGACAGCGGCACTCGAGGAATCATCACTTTCTTCGTCCTCACCTGAGTCTTCGTCCTCGTCTGACCCATCGTCGAAGCCAAACTCGATGTGCGGATAGCCACGCGACGACATAAAATCTAGTCCGCCTGTGCCAACTCCAAACTCGATGCTTGGACCTATCTCTGGAGAACTCTCGCTTGCCGAATCCTCGGTAGCGGCGTCTGTAGTAGTAGCATCCTCGTCCGATTCAGATCCACCATACAGTTCCTCGGTCCAAGTGTTGTAGTAGCGAACTACTGATGGGTGACTCAGTTGGGACAGCAGCCGGACTTCTTTCAACACCTGAGTCAAGGACGCCGATGATTTCTGCATAATCTTTTTGATAGCATAGATTTGACCATCAAGTCGTTTTCTAGCCTTGACAACCTCTCCAAATCCGCCTTTCCCTAGACGACCTTCTTCCACAAAGTCTTCTGTATACCTTGATCTGTTGAAAGGCCCACCTGTATTCATAGAATCATGTCGCTGCCTGCGTGGTGTCGGGAGTAAGGAGAATTCTGAACCGAATCTGGGTTGATTTACAGAACTAGTCATCTCATCCAGTATTGGCGCATCGGTTGCCAAAAATTCCGAGGGTCCTAGTTCCACTGCACGAGGACGTTTTTTTGAATCAGCGTTGAACATCTTGAGTACAAGCTCGTTCAGAGAATCAGAGAGAGCAAGAGACTCTGCCAATGCTATCGGCGATTGGTATATTTGGATAACGGCCAGGCCGAACATCATCTGCAGGAAAAAGACTCCAAAGTCCCAGACATCTGTTTTTTGGGTGTATTGAGGGTGATTGGTATTTGCTATTTCAGGTGGGAACCAGTATGCAGACTTAGCCATGAACAGGGTATCAGACGGCTTTTCACCACTAAGGTTGTAAAGCTTCCTCTGGTACCCGGCATCAGCAAGCTTCGGCCTGAATTCTCCGTTGGACATTCGAACCAAAATGACGTTCCCAGCATGTATATCCTCGTGTACAATGCCTTTCTCGTGGAGGAATCGCAATGCATCGAGAATTTCGATTGTCCATGAACGGACCTTCTCAACTTCTAGGCGCCCAGCAATATCGAGAAACTCTTGCAATGACCCCTTTTCTCCAAACTCTGTCAAAATACTGACAGTCCAGCCAGAGTCTGACTCTCCATCTTCCTCCATGGTTCTGTGCACCTTGAAATCGAGAATTTCGAGAACATTTTTATGTCGCACATCCTTGAGAATTTTCAACTCGTTCTCGAGAAGCTGGATCTGTGCCTTGAACTTGTTGTTGTCTTGGACCTCAGTGGCCAAGTCAGTCTGCTTTAGAATAAGCGTAGGAACATCACTCGCTCCTTTGGCAACGACAGGGCGCACAGTGAAGCATTTGCTCACTGGACCTCGACGTATACAGACTTTACTCGCCACGACCTGGAAAACTATAGGGTTATCGTTGAGATCCGTGAAATTGATTGGCTGCTCAAAAGCTAGAAGTTCGTGAGCTGCCTGTCCATTGACGCTTGTATCAATTGAGGCTTCTGTAACAATCTGTGGAGGTGGTCGATTCTTCCGCCTTGACTCTTTGGTTCTCTCCCTCCGGCGCCTGATTTCCTCTTGAACCATAGCTTGCTGGGTACGCTCCTCCTCCATGGTTTCAAGCTGCTTCTTCTTTTCTTCGGCCTCTCTCTGTTCTTCGGCTAATTTGCTGACGGCTTGCTCGTGAATAGCACGTTCCTCTTCCAGACTCGGCAGTTCTTTGCCAACAGCATTCGCCTGGGCAGCATCTTCTAGGACCTCCTGACACGCATTGACTATTTCCATAATCATAGCCTGCTCTTCAGCGACCAATTCCTTGGGTTTTGTCTCCATTACCTTTTGTATCTTGAACTTGGTTCCCTCTCGCAGACCGGCATAGTCTTTAATCCTCAGTAGTGGTGTGCTTCGGGGGTAGGTTGCGGTCAAAGTCACAGCGAGAGTAATAGCGATCTCTTCATCAGAAGATTTGACACGGATCTCGAAGCAAGGCTCCGCTTTCTATTTACGGGATCAGATGAAATACTCAATACAATGAGGACCTCGGCAGCATACCTTCCAAGCGCTATGATTCGACTCTATTCTCTTGAAGTCTTCTCCATATATGGCCTCCAGGGCGATAAGTTCATCCTCTTGAATCTCCTCGTACTGCGACTTCACCTGTTGAACTTTAGGGACATCATTGTTCTGCTTGACAGACTGCACGTCAGAACTCCCAGACAAGGGTGAATTGCGTTGTGGTGGCTTTTTTCCTCGTGGATTCGTTGGCGGCATGTTGATATCTTCAATTTGCAACTGGTATTGAGTGGACTAACTGGTGAGTCAGAGAGAAGATATTTCTGAAATAGAGCTCGCAGCGAAAGCCGCAAGATCTTTACGCGCTAGGACTGGACTGCATATTTCGGGAAGTTTGGAAGTGAATGTGGTTTTTTTGCGAGTAGTGAAGTTGGAGATTCAACTTGATTCCTTTTTCTATTCACGACATAACTGCTCGCAAGGCTGAGAAGACGTGAAACGCGAGCCTATCAACGACGAAATACTTGACCCCACAATCCGTGCCCTTATCGATGTCAAGGCGAGGCCGTCATCCGATAAGGCGCACGGCTAGCAGATGCAGAGAGACGGAGAGCGAAATTTCGTAACTGGGGCTGAGAACCTTTGCGCGGAAGAAATTCATCCCCAACACCCAGAGAGCAGAGAACATACATCTTTCACTCCTTGAATAGTGGGCCTCATAGCCTCATTTTCTGAAAGTCTAGGCACCATTCAGCCTCGTTAGCCGTATCAATGGCTTTTCGCGCATCATCAACATTGGCTTTCGCCCGCCTCACACGACCTGCACCCTCGCAGACGCAAATATCTGCAATTACATCGCCAAATGGGCTTCGTTTCTATTCAGCTCCAGTCGATGGTACAATTCCTGCTGCAAAGCAAAAATACGTTCCGACGAGTGGCACCTATCCCAAGGGATTCCTGGTTTCGGGCACTCACGTCGGAGTGAAGCCTACAAACAAGAGCACTCCGGACTTGGCCTTCCTGGCGTCAGAGACACCATGCGGTGCCGCTGCAGTATTCACGAAGAACAAGTTCCAGGCAGCTCCTGTGACTGTCAGTAGGAACATGCTGAATAGAAGGGGCAACAGCGGAGTCCGCTCAGTCATCGTGAACTCGGGCTGCGCGAACGCCGTGACAGGGAAGGGCGGAATGGAGGACGCTGAGAAGATGGGCACAGAGGCAGACAAATGCTTTGATCTGCCAAAAGATGGTAAGGGAGGAAGTAGTATAGTTATGAGCACTGGTGTAATTGGTCAGAGGTAAGCTTGCTGGCGTGTTAACGACCAAAATTTTAAATAACTCCTCATAGGTTGCCGATACAGAAGATATTGCAGAGGATACCATTCGCATACGATGCTTTGGGATCGTCACACGACCACTGGCTCGCTGCTGCCAGAGCTATCTGCACAACCGATACGTTCCCGAAGTTGATTTCTCGAACGTTCTCTCTGCCGTCATCCCCATCTGTCGAATACAGGATAGCTGGTATGACCAAGGGGGCAGGTATGATACATCCCAATATGGCCACGTTATTGGGGATGATCGCTACAGATGCTCCAATTGCTCCCCAACTCCTGCCATCTCTACTTACGAATGCTGTCAACAAGTCCTTCAACAGTATCTCGATCGACGGTGATACCTCAACAAACGATACGGTAGCATTACTTGCTAACGGTGCTGCTGGAGGTGAACAGGTCACTTCTGGGTCATCGAGAGACTACGCCACTTTTCAGAACATATTGTCCGACTTTGCTACTGATCTAGCCAAGCTCGTCGTCCGAGACGGAGAAGGAGCCACAAAGTTCGTCACCATCCGAGTTACCGAGTCTTCGTCTGAGGTTGCAGCGCGGAAGATTGCAAGCACAATCGCAAGGTCGCCTCTAGTCAAGACAGCTTTATACGGCAAGGATGCCAATTGGGGCCGTATCTTGTGTGCAACTGGGTACTCCTTGATATCCGAGCCAGGACAAGAAATCAACCAGGTGGATGAGATTGTGCCAGCAAAGACTAGTGTCTCTTTCATTCCATCTGATGGCTCACCGGAGCTAAAATTGTTGGTGAATGGAGAGCCCGAAACTGTGGATGAAGCCCGCGCTTCGGAGATATTGGAGCATGAAGACTTGGAGATTCTCGTTCGCTTGAGAGGTGGTAATGAGGAAGCCACTTATTGGACGTGTGACTATAGGTGACTTTTATGCTCTTCTACCTAAATACCTACATTACTGACACTTCCCAGCCACGAATATATCACGATCAACGGGGACTACCGCACATGAGAGACGAATTTATCAGATCGGCGTGTAAAGAGAGGAATCGCTAAAAAATAGAGCACGGCTTTATGCGTTTATTACCTGCCTACCAATTCTCCCCCTCGAGCCTGCCACAAGGTGAAATCCGGACCCTTAAATGTATTTAAGGTCTTAGGTATTTTTTGTATCGTGTGTAGGGGGTGGCTATTGGAGTGTGGTAATGGAGATATGCCATTCTTGGTACCGGGAAGAGCTAGTGACCCAACCCCGAGTTCTAGTAAATATGGGTGTTGTGTAGCGCAAAGAATATGAGGAGCCGTGATATGTAACAGTCAAGGTTCTTGAAACTTAGTAAAGCGACTTCCCACCACTAGTTGTAAATCCAACAACAAGTTGAATTATATTTCCGAAGAACCCAGAACAATACCATGTTCAAATTCACAGCAGGGATTGAGAGTATCACAAAATCGAGTTCAGGGGCACGACTTAGACTTACTCTGTATACTATCTACCATTCACGTAGATCACGTGTGTATACACCCTAGCCAAAGGCCACCTACACCCCGGAGCATTTTACCAAGCGAACAGGCAAAGCGATCTGTTCGATACTTTTTCTCACTCCCCTTTAAAACACATCACCGCGCGCACCTGCGAGCATAAGAGCAGAGCCGACCGCCCCTTTCATCGATCGCCGCTCCTTACTTTTCATATCCTTTCTTCCACGTCTGTGAGGTTATTCCAGCATTACCGCCAGGATGAGTGGCCGTGAGTGTCCCCCTTACCTATGCCTATGCTGTCTCCTCAACCTCGAGCGATTTTACATCCGCAGAACAAGATGACTGACATCGCGCGTGTGTGCCTTCTGCAGTTCGATTCCTCGATCTCATCAAACCCTTCTCGCCAATCCTCCCCGAGGTGCAGCAACCGGAGACAAAGGTCCCTTTCAACCAAAAGTTGATGTGGACGGGTTTGACCCTCTTGATATTTTTGGTCATGAGCCAGATGCCATTGTATGGTATTGTGTCCTCTGACACCTCGGATCCTCTATACTGGCTGCGAATGATGTTGGCGAGTAACAGAGGAACGCTGATGGAGCTGGGCATTTCCCCAATCATCTCCTCGGGAATGGTCTTCCAGCTTCTTGCTGGCACACACTTGATCGATGTCAACCTTGACCTGAAGTCTGACCGCGAGCTTTACCAGACTGCCCAGAAGCTTTTCGCCATTATCTTGTCAATGGGACAGGCTACCGTTTATGTTTTCACTGGTCTCTACGGTCAACCATCCGACCTCGGTGCCGGTGTTGTATTCCTCCTCATCCTTCAATTGGTTGTTGCTGGTTTGATTGTAATCCTTCTCGATGAGCTCCTCCAGAAGGGCTACGGTCTGGGAAGCGGTATCTCGCTCTTCATTGCCACCAACATTTGCGAGTCCATTGTCTGGAAGGCTTTCTCCCCAACTACGATCAATACTGGACGTGGACCAGAGTTCGAGGGTGCCGTTATTGCTCTCTTCCACCTCCTCTTCACCTGGCCAAACAAGCAACGCGCTCTCCAGGAGGCTTTCTACAGACAAAACCTGCCCAATGTTATGAACCTTATCGCCACTCTTGTTGTGTTTTCGGCCGTCATTTACCTCCAGGGTTTCCGTGTCGAGATACCCGTCAAGTCTTCACGACAACGTGGCGCTCGCGGATCATACCCCGTCCGCCTCTTCTACACCTCTAACATGCCTATCATGTTGCAATCTGCTCTGTCCTCCAACGTCTTCCTGATTAGCCAAATGCTGTACTCCCGCTTCTCAGAGAACCTCCTCGTCCAACTATTCGGTGTTTGGGAGCCAAAGGATGGATCTGCTCAGCTGTTCGCTACATCTGGTCTTGCCTACTATATGTCTCCTCCATTAAACCTCACTGAGGCTGCCTTGGACCCTATTCACACTGCTGTCTACATCATCTATATGCTTGTTGCTTGCGCCGTCTTCTCCAAGACCTGGATCGAGGTTTCCGGCTCCAGCCCCAGAGATGTCGCCAAGCAGCTCAAGGACCAAGGTCTTGTCATGGCCGGCCACAGAGAGCAGAGCATGTACAAGGAGTTGAAGCGCATCATCCCAACTGCGGCTGCTTTCGGTGGTGCTTGCATTGGTGGTCTTTCGGTTGCCAGTGACTTGATGGGTGCCCTCGGATCCGGAACCGGTATCTTGCTGGCTGTCACGTAAGTTCCCATAAATCTCACTGCTTTTGGCACCAATCAAATACTAATTAACACATAGCATCATATACGGATATTTCGAAATTGCGGCGAAGGAAGGTGATATGGCATCTATGAAGGGTATGGTTATGGGATAATCCGAGTATTTCTAATTCCATATCTCGTTTCGTCACCATGGGCTTAGGCTACTTAAAAGAATTGCGCAAAAAGTGGTTTGCGGGAAAGATACTGGAAGGAGAAAAGGTCACCCGACGATCGGCTACAGAGAGCAAGCGATCCTATGTAACACCATCAAATAGAGCAGGGGAGTAAAAATTTCACATTACAGAACTCGTCTCGGGCGATATGACGGGTGGAAATGGTTATTCTGGATTGGCTTGGGTCTCCTGAGTGAACGGAAGGGTCTCGGGCGGTTCAGGTGTATTTATTTACGGCGCCTTGTAACCATAGGGTCGTGCTATAATAAAAATTGGTTACTTTTGCAGCTTCAAGGACAAGTGTTTGGTGTACGATGTTGCTCTCTAGTGACTGCGGCCTTGTTGAAAATCCTTTTCTGAGCTTGGGAAGCGACGGGCTGGCTAAGCCCTGTGCTTATTTTGAAGATATGATCATACTGATGTCGAGGTTCCAATTTCGAGAAGGTGTTGCTCGTTAGACCTGTTGGCTGATGGACTGCCAGAGCGCCGGAGCAAATGTGATACTCTTCAAGACCATGTTGACAACAACAACAATAACAACAACAATGATAATTATTACAGCTCGATGCTTCGATATTTTATACAGGCTGTCGGCTTGCTATTTTGTTGAATGGCTTTGGGATATTATTATCCACTTTCTCTCTCGGGCAGGTATATCCATATTATTTCTTTGCCAAGTGAGATAGAGTATGGAGCGAGTCACGTCTTCTGGCACCGGAGCTCGGTGCTCATAAGAACGCCTTTAATGCTGTGATAGTGTTTATTTTCTTTTACAGGGGGGGTGGGGTTGTCCTCAGAGTCATTTCGTCAATCTCTCTGTATAGTCGGTAGGCTAACATGCAAAATGTTCCCCGGATCTCCGCTATTCCTTGACATATTTTCCAAAAAAAACTGCTAGCCACGGCGGAGATGAGCTGACAATCGCTGAAGAAGCCGCTGCTTTTTTGGATGTACAGTAGCAGCAACGTGGTGTTCGTCTTGTCTTACCCGACAGCATTGTGTTTGACAGCTCTTGGCCACACTCGAGCTTGATTACAAACTTACCCAACCATTGTTCTGCTTGACCAGGCATGTTGAGAGTGCTTCTTATGACATATCGGGCAATAGATCAGCCAATGGTAACTGGAGAGTAGTTTTTTTTTTTTTTTTTTTTTGGCTAAACGTCTAGCCCCCCCGGCTGAACCTTGTACAGTACCGAGACAAATCCGGGGATATTTCCGGAAGGCGATTCGAGATCTCCTTACAACAGCCTCGCTGTCATTGGGCAATCCGACAACCATGTGCGTTACAGAGCTGTATGTACAATGCAATGGAGGGGTCGAATGCTGATACAAGCAACGGCTCGTGGTCTGGTGGTGGCGGTGTGCTGGGATTAGGATTAGGATTGGGGTTGAAGCTGCAGGCGGCCGGCGATGACTCCAAGCTCTATGCGGGGGCGAGAGTCACCTGTATGGGCTTTGAAGCAATGTCAAAATATCAATCTTATTGTCACTGGCGCTTTCACATGTGCTCCCCCTCCCCCTTCCTCTCTCTCTCTTGGTCACAGGATTCGTACGAGAACTCAGCAAAATTTTGCTGGATTAATCGTTTCCGATTTCTAACATGTCAAAACATTGAGGTAGCTGTGGTAACGATACTGAGGAATACTACCCCATCACGAATATCGGCTTGATAAGGGAGATCTCAAAGCTGGGTCGTATCTAAATCGAATTAGAAAACCAAACAATCTATGAATACCTCCTACATGTGTTTACTTATCGGCATTAGGTAGGTTCATTAAGGCTACTTACTACAAAACGGTCTATATCATAAACTATTTCTGCTCAGGTCTAGCTCTAGGTTATATGGGTCTAGGCAGGTTTGGCTGAGGTGGATCTACGTGGATCTACGTGGATCTTGAATAGGTCTACGTACAACTACTACTACAGTAGTTAATCAGCTTTCTCGGAAGCCTAAAAACACGTCCAGAACGGCCTGATACTGAGGTAGATCCGACCCCACCTGCAGGCAGGAACGCTCAACATCCATGGGTGGATAAGTTACTTATCAGTTACTTATCCATTATCAGTGCCAGCTTTGCATATAAACGCTTTTTCTACTCCACTCTTCTCTACTCTACATATGCCCATCGCCCTCCTCCTCGTCCTTCTCCTCCTCCTCCTCCTCCTCCTCCTCCTCCTCATATCCTGTCGATCCGGGTCCCGCAACAAAAAACTAGAGGCTAGGTACAGTAGAGCTAGCTAGCATCTTCCTCGCACCATCCACCAAATTTTATCGCTGGGTTCCTTACTAGTGCTGGCCAACGTTCGACTCGTGATATCAGTCCTCTCAGATTGGACTGCGACAAAGTAACTTTCCCACTGCCTCGGCTTTTCTATTCTTCTTTTTCTTCTTCATCACTCATCTTGTCGAAACCGACGGTACGGGCTTTCGCCGCCGCATTTGCATCCTCCGCATTTCCATCCTCCCATCGCTTCGATCCCCGCATTCCTTTGGGGAGAGCTCGGGAAAAATGTTGGGCATGTGTGAGGGGCCCATATGGCAGGTTGATGATATCACGAATTGTGTGCAAAGGAAGTGAGGCAACCCTACCCCTTGGAATCCGCAAGCACCAGCGGCCCTGACTCTGTCGGCAGTTTTCTGAAAGTCCTTTTCCCGATAATCGTCGTCGGCCTTTCTTTTCTACGTCTTGTAGTACAAGCTATCCAGCGCAAAGTCCGACGGAAACGAAATCCCAGCCACAAAAACCTCCCGAATGGCTCAAGTGTACATTGCGAAGGACAGAATGGCGCAGGCTATCAGCATATTCCCGAAGACGATTCCGTATCCATAAGCACGGACGAGAATGAGGATGGCTTGATCGTTGGTGGGGGTCGGCTGGTGTTGACCAAGACAGTTACGAAGGGCTCCGTTGCTGCCATTGATGCGCCCCGGGCTCAGTATACGATTCTGATTCTCGAACTGCTGGCCATAGTCGCTGTGGACGCTATCAATATCGCTGCATACATTCTCCATGCACATGGCCCCCATGGAACGCTCGCCACCGTGGTGGGAATCGCAACATGGACCTATATCCTGGCATTGGCCATATCAAGACTAGCATTGTCGAAGACGTCGTGGAGGATTCCTGGAGTATGGAACCATACCGCGTCTCTGTATACATTGATATGGATCTTTTCAATCGTAACTTTCCGTTCTGCACTCATCCACCCTCGCTCGGGAACAGCTCAGGTTCTGGTCATCTCCGAGTTCGCCCTGACTTCCTTTCTCTTCGGCATTACAATCACTACACGGAAGGGCAATAAAGCTGTTGTGCTGGAATGGGAGAATGATATTGAACCATCGAGAGAACCTCTGGCCAGTCTCCTCTCTATTGCGACTTTTGGGTGGGTGGATTCGATTGTCTGGCATGGCTACCAAAAGACCTTCGAGCTAGCTGATGTTTGGAACTTGATGCCAAAAGACAAGGCAGCGGCAGTTTTGGCCGATTATCGTCAGCTCAAGAAGACAACTGCTTTGACTTGGCATCTTATGCGCTACTTCAGGGGAATCCTCATCGTGCAGTGCTGCTACGCTTTTATCTCTGCAATCTTCACGTGTGCACCTACCCTATTACTCAAATCGATTCTAGAGTACATCGAGGATCCTGACATTGCGCCAAGGAATGTCATCTGGCTCTTCGTGATCCTGCTTGCTGTTACGAACCTTGTTCGATCCCTCGCCGACCAACAGGCATTGTGGATCGGCCGCAAGATTTGCATCAGACTGCGAGCAATCATCATCGGTGAAATCTACGCAAAGGCTCTCCGTCGGAAAGCAGCAGCGAGTAGTGATACGTCTCTTGGGGATGCCGCAAAATCGAAAAAGTTGAAGCAACCCGTTGGCCTCGGTGGAAAGAAGAAGGACGCAGCTAAAGATCCCGGCTCTGACCCTACAGCGCTCCCCAAGACCTCAGACCCCAGTTCCAAGGGAGGCGATGAGCAAGTGAACGTTGGAACGATCATCAATTTGATGTCTGTCGATTCTTTCAAAGTCAGCGAAGTCACAGCCTATTTACATTTCCTCTTCGCTCAAGCACCAACTCAGCTTATCGTATCAGTCTACCTACTATATAAAATTCTTGGGTACAGCAGTATCCCTGGACTCATCGTCATGGTGATCCTCCTCCCGGTCAATATCGCATTTGCTCGAGGGTTTTCCGGGGCACAGAAGAAAATCATGGGTGCTACAGACAAGCGAATTCACACCACTAACGAGGTCTTGCAAAACATCCGAATCATCAAGTTCTTTGCGTGGGAGCAGCGCTTCAGTAGCATTGTCAACGAAAAGCGACGAGCCGAATTGAGAGCCTTGCGATCCAAGTATCTCCTTTGGGCATTTGCTGTAGCCGTTTGGAACACCGTACCAGTTATCATCACTTTCTTCTCGTTCCTAGTATATACACTGGTGGAGAAGAAGCCGTTATATCCTTCAGTCGCTTTCACAGCGATTTCACTGTTTTCAATTCTTCGAGTACCGCTGGACCAACTCGGTGACATGATAGCACATGTGCAAGAGTCCAAGGTCTCGGTCGACCGAGTGGAGGAGTTTTTGAACGAGGAGGAAACGGAGAAGTACGAGCAACTTCAGCACGACAACCTGGACGACGAAGGAAACCAAATGATTGGCTTCCAAAACGCAACATTCTCGTGGGGTGGCAAAGAAGCAGAAGGTGATGAGGCGTCATCAGCCTTCCGACTCATGGATATGGACGTCAAATTTGAGATTGGCAAACTCAACATCATTGCAGGACCCACGGGCTGTGGAAAGACATCACTACTGATGGCTCTCCTTGGAGAAATGTCACTCATCAAGGGTAAAGTCTTCTTGCCCGGTGGCTTCAGCCGCGAGGATGTTCGACCGGACCCAGAGACTGGTCTTGCTGAAAGTGTTGCTTACTGCGCTCAGCAAGCTTGGCTCGTCAATGCCAATATCAAGGAGAATATCATCTTCGCGGCACCACTGGACGAGAAGAGGTACAGGGACGTCATCGTTGCCTGTGCTCTTGAACGTGATCTCGAAATACTTGATGCTGGGGATGAGACTCTCGTGGGCGAGAAGGGTATCACACTATCAGGGGGTCAGAAGCAGCGCATTTCCCTTGCTAGAGCGTTGTACTCCAACTCTCGACATGTACTCCTGGACGACTGCCTAAGTGCTGTTGACTCGCATACAGCCAAGTGGATTTTTAATAACTGCATCCGCGGTCCTCTTATGCATGGTCGAACTTGTATTCTTGTAACGCATAACTTAGCGCTCTGTGTGCCGCGGTCAAGACGCGTCATTCTCCTGGACAATGGAAAGATCGAAATCCAAGGTTCTTCCGAGGATGTCATTGCATCAGGCAAACTTGGTGACGAGATTTTTAAATCAAGATCTAGCTCGGTCGAGCCGTCGAAAATGCCATCCCGGGTCCCATCCAGCATAGGTAATGAGAGTGGTGACACTCTTATCGGCGAGATTGAGGCTGCGAACGGAGATGGTGACCGCAGGCTATCTGCCAAGAAGGACGTCAAAGACGTAATGCAGGAGAAGAAGGCTGAGGGTGGCGTGAAATGGCCCGTTCTCATCCTGTACCTAAGGTCCATGGGTCCTTGGTATGTTCACCCTCCCGAGATTCTCATCACCCACTGATACTGATTGCTCAGGTGGTTTTGGATTCTTGCCGTGCTTGTTTTCGGGGTTCAGCAGTTTGGAGCCATGATTTCCGTCCTTTGGATTCGACAGTGGGCAAATCAATACGATACCGAGGCTGTCCGAGGGTATCATGGCCTGTCCCCCGATAGCTATATTGGCAACACAATATCCATGGCTCGAGTCGCTAGTTCAAGAGTCTTACAGGTTCAACCGTATTTCAACCCGAACAAGACTTCCATTCTCTCGAGAATAGCTCCTGACGTCGACGTCTCATTTTATCTTACAGTATACGCTCTGATTGGAGCCGGGGGCATGCTCGTTGCTCTGTTCAGGGATATGTGGCTGTTCTATGGATCCTTGAGAGCGAGCTGGAAGATTCACCAAAGTCTGGTGGAGTCCGTCACTCGGGCGAAGTTCAAGTTCTTCGATGTTACGCCTCTTGGTCAGCTCATGAATCGCTTCAGTAAGGATTTGGAAGCCGTGGATCAAGAAGTAGCTCCGATCGCCATTGGCGTGATGTCCTGCGCCCTTGCTATCGGCGTCACTGTTGCACTAATTACAGTCATCACCCCTGGTTTCCTCGTTGCTGCCGTCTTCATCAGCTTGTTATACTTCTTCGTCGGGAAGTTCTATCTTCGTTCTTCTAGAGATCTGAAGAGAATCGAGTCGGTGCAAAGAAGTCCACTGTTCCAACAATTTGGAGAGACTCTAAGTGGAATCACGACTATTCGTGCATATGGAGACGAGAAACGATTTATTCGTGATAACATGTTGAGAATAAACACTCACAGCCGTCCTTTCATCTATCTATGGGCTGCGAACAGATGGCTGGCTTTCAGGATTGATCTGATCGGTGATCTCGTCGCCTTCTTCGCTGGTGCATTTGTTGTCTTGAGCATTGGGAAGATTGACGCCGGCGCAGCAGGTCTTTCGCTGAGTTACGCAATCGGTTTCACCGAGAACGTGCTCTGGTTGGTGCGACTTTATTCTATGAATGAGCAGAACATGAACTCGGTAGAACGTATCAAGGAGTATCTTGATGTTGAGCAAGAAGCAGAGGCGGTCATTGAGGACACCCGGCCTGCCGCAAACTGGCCCAGTCAGGGCTCAGTTGAGTTTATCAATTACACTACCAGATACAGGCCCGATCTGGAGCCAGTATTGCGGAACGTCACGTTCAATATCAGACCGGGGGAAAAAGTCGGAATTGTTGGCCGAACAGGTGCAGGAAAAAGTTCTCTAGCTCTTGCTCTGTTCCGGGGCCTTGAGGCCGAGGAAGGCAAGATCTTGATTGACGACGTGGACATTGGCCTCATTGGCCTTAGAGACCTTCGCGAATCGATCACTATTGTTCCACAAGATCCAACGCTCTTCTCTGGGACCATCAGGAGCAATCTTGACCCTTTCAACCTATTCACTGATGAGGATATCTTCACGGCCTTACGAAGAGTTCATCTGATTGGAACGACTCTCCCTACTACGAATTCATCTACACTTTTGAGCGCCTCGCGACCCGCCTCCCCTCCACAAGCCAACGGGCTCAGTACCCCATCAGGAACGTCAACCCCTGTTGCGAACAAGAACATATTCCTCAACCTATCGTTTCCTGTTACAGAGTCCGGCAACAACCTATCGCAAGGCCAAAGACAGCTTCTCTGTCTGGCACGTGCGCTCCTGAAGCAACCCAAGGTCCTCATGATGGACGAAGCTACGGCGTCTATCGACTATAATACCGACTCCAAGATTCAGGAGACCATCCGTGAGCTTACGAGCACCATCATCACCATCGCACATCGCTTGCAAACAATTGTCGATTATGACAAGGTGCTTGTTCTGGACAAGGGCTCCGTGGTCGAGTACGGCCATCCATACGAGCTGCTCAAGAAAGAAGGCGAACATGCAGTATTTAAAAGCATGTGTGAGATGAGTGGAGATATGGTTGCTCTGCAAAAATCAGCTAAGAAGGCATGGGAGGCGGGGCGACTCGTAGACGACGAGTGAGCGGATACAAAATTGGGTTGAATTCCCACTGTGCAATAATTCTTTTCTTTTCTGTCTCAGTAATCCGATTCTTGTTGGCCATTTCAAGATCTTCTATCGCAAATTTCTATTCCAGACCTGTGAACATCAATCCCAGCTAAAAGATATCCGTGTTTATGCCATCAAAAGAGTTAGCGGGCTAAATCTTCGATGCCTTGAAAGGCGTATCAAAATTTTATATAATAAAAGTCTTTGGTCGTATAAAGCTATATTAACTGTAATGTTAATTTTTCAAGATTATATAGTCCATAGCATTAATCGACTGCTTGAAAGTCATTTGCTTTATTTTCTTGTGATTGATAAATGCGATCAATAATCACGAGCATTTGAATCACTTTTTCCTAAAAAAAAACCCCCTTTCTTCTCTATGGCTCTGCTATTGAAGAGCTCTGGTACTCTAGATCTTTCCCGATTCTACAAGAGGGTTATCTTTTCAACATAAATCAAATCAAATATACCAGTGTAGCCGTTCACCTTGATACGCACACACCTTATAGCTAGCTTACTCTTTCTTAAACGGAAACACCACTTGCAAACAAGCAACTCGAAAAGTTGACATATATATATATATATATATGTTTTTTTCTAAAAAAAAAAGGTTTTCTTCAAAACGCTCTCCTCCTTTTTTTTAAAAAAAAAAAAATTTATTCTTATAAAATAATCTTTCGAACGAACGAACGAACGAGCGATGAAACATAACGAGTCTGAATCGCATCGAACCGATCGGAACACGGCTAAACGCTAGAGAAAGGAAGCTGCCGCCGAGCTATGAAAGATCGAATTTTTGGTGAGAAACAGACGTCAAAGCTAGCTGCTGCTGCTGCGGGACGAAAAAAACGCAAACGGAAGAAAGATAGAGATAAGAGAAGAAGGCCGCGCGGCGCAGACGCAGAAGGAAGGCTTGATAAGAGATTTATTTGTCTTCACGAACCTTGGGCTCCGGCTTGAGTAAAGTAAGACAGACGACGGCCTTGTTGATTTATGAAATTGTTATCAGGGCCTTCGTTTCCCACGAACACCTGGGTATGTGCGAAGGAGAAATTATCGATGGAAGCAAGTTGATTGAAGGAATGGTCGCTAGAGGAGCTAATCGTCATCAATCGTGTGTTTTTATTTCTTCGTAGTAGTAGTAAGAAGAAAGAATGGTTTTACGCTTGATCCAGGATCTTCTTCCTCTTTTGAAGAAGTTTCAAGCTTGCTTATGGACCTTTTTAAACCAATCCACTCCCCCCCGACCACCCTCGGAAAATTTCAAGGCATCTTTCTTTCTTTCTTTCTTTCTTAGTATCGAGTGAATGAATGACTGAATTAATGAATACAAGCAGCAGAGGAGGAGGAGGAACATTATTGATTGACCCCTTGGCGGCAAATCTATCAAATCAAATCTATCAAACCAAATCAAGGTCAAGGTCAAGAACTCTTATTCACACACTCACTTGGACGTCCGTCTATCTATCTTTCCTTTCCTTTCCCTTCCACCTAAACTCGCAACCTATTCCGTATGTAAAGTCCAAACCAAACCAATGTTTCATTATCAGCGTGCGTCAACTCCGACCGAGACCTTATCCGATGCGATGCGATGCGATGCGATGCGATGCGACGCGATGTAGTGCGATATGGGATATATATATATATATATTTCTTTCGTCGTCGTTAAACAATGAATAAAATGAATAAATGAGCGAGTGAGCCTCCCCCTCTCGGCAGCAGCTAGCTGGTTTATAACTGTAACTGTAACTGAGGCTGAAGCTGAAGCTTCCTCTCTCTCTCTCTCTC